ATATATACTATATATATATATATATATATATATATATATATATGTGTGTGTGTGTTTTTGTAAACCACTAATCTTGGCAGTAATTAATTACTACACAAAAATGTTTTTTAAACTCTTAAAAAAATGGGAAAGCTGTTATTACTACACCAGAAAAAGTCGGCAGTAACAAACAGATACCTTAAAATTCAAAACAAAAAACATAATATTAAAACTCTACCTGTCGATCACTTTCAGAGCCACCCAGAATTGTATATAGGTCAGAAAAATCTGTAAAAATATTCATAAGTTTCACTTCACTGCATAGCATAGTAAAATATATTTTTTAAATTATTTTATTACACAAAAAAGTATTACAGTGCAATGATAAATTTCATTTTAAAAAAACAGATTCTAATTAACCCATAATAAAGTAACAAATTTGTCAAAAATTAAAATACAAGACATGGAGAACGCTATTAAGTTTACCTCTAAGTGATGAACTTGTCATTCTAAATGACAGAATTATCAGGCAGTTAAGTTTCCTAGAAAATGGCTTACTTGGATAAGAGTTGACATGACTTGAATGAGGAACTAATAAGTCAGAGTATGGGCTAGAGACTGGAGGATAATATGGAGGAGTGGATGTATCCATCACAGGTATACTGGGGCAGAGAGATGACGGAACAGGTGGGAGTGAAGTGGAACCAATTCTGTAATTAGAAGTTAAATCACTTACTGTTCTAATACATTTTAACCAAATTTATATGCTTTTAGTACAGAATCTTTGCCCTTACTCTGCATTTTTTAACCAAACTCAACAGACATGTTGTCACATTTTTGTATACTTTGCAAAAAAAAATATTAACTATTTCATATGGTTAATTTGTAAGTTTTAGTTATTTGAACTTTAAAACTTTTGTTACAGATAAATACACTTTTCAATTTCCTGTACTGTGTACAATGTAAAAAAAATCCAAGAGAACATTATACGTAAAACTGCAAATCCCTCTTACTCTAATCATTTATTAAACTTTTGTATCAAATGTATACTTTAATAGTGTCAGTTCCAATGATCTTATTAGAAATTTTATGGTAAATAATAAACATTCATGAAGGAATTTGTTGTCTACATAAACACGTTCTACCAAGAATACAAAAACAAATTTCCATGATTATTAACAGAAAATTTTCGTTCATTAGCTCTGGGTAGAACAGTCAAAGTCTGAATCCTGGAAAAAAAATATCTTCTAGATGAGAGTTAAAAAATGTTTGACCTTTTGTAACTTTTTGATAAGGTTCAAATAGTCCAAAAATGAGTCTGGTTTTGCATGTTTCCAAAGTCACAACCTTGACAAGTGAGAAGTGTTATCTAATAGTATCACAGAAGAACCAATGTGAAGAAATATCTGGAAGGTGGGAGTTACAACTCGGAGACTGTTCACTCTGATGAGGTAGAAGAATGTCTCTGGCTAGAATTCAGGGTTTGATCACTGCAGCAAACAGATACAAATAATGGTGCAAAAAATCCGAGTCTAATTAAACAACTGACAGAAGATTGACAGGAGTGTCCTGTGGGTAAAATTTATTAAAACAACGGAGCAGAACTGAGTACCAGTTGATTAGGAAGTTTGCCAATTACATGACTTTCTCATCCACACACATATCTACTATCATATTATAATTATACATGTATACTTCATACCTTAAACATTGACTCAACCTGCATGTCTAAAAATCTTCAAACAGTCTGTTGGTTTTCAGCATTTAAGGCTCAACAGTTTGACAGTTATAAAGGAAAAATTATATTAACATCATTTTTAATACATTCATTACATTGCAACAAGTGTACAAGTCACATAAAAACAATACATAATAAAATAATATTAGAATATATAAATGCACCAAACAATTACAATATTTTTCACAGGAATTTGTCTGTCGTCTTATGTTAACATTGATTTAAGTTGCCAAGGTGACCATACAATATTATCTAGAGTTCAATAGTGACTTTTCCAGCACTTTTGTATGCAGAACTATTATGAAGATAAAAACTATCAACTACAGCTTTGTACACGAATTATAATTTTAAACTTAAAACTAAACATTGTTTTCAAGTATTAAAATTAGACAACAAAGAAAAATAAATGACTATATGACAAAAATAAATGGTTAAAGAGTTACAATTAACTTGTTACTTTCCCTAGTTTTGTTTGGAATTTTTAATTCAGTAATTCTTAAAATACAAGATAAAAAAGAAATTTTCCTTGGGTAAGGAAATGGAGGAAGCAATAAATAAGAGTCAATAGCATTAATGAGCTGTTTCAGTATTCTTCAAATTGTATTTACAACATCTCATTATTAAGATAACTAAAGATATATAATTGCGAAGAATAATATCAGGAAAATAATATAAGTACATTCATTAATAAACATTAATTTTGAAAAATATCTAAAGTTTTCATTCTGCACTGAATTAGTTAAGGTTTACTTTTAAAATACATCCCCAGGCAACGTTATTAAAAGATTGTATGTGAAAGAGACACTTACTTATATAACATATACAGTTTTAGTAGATGTGTTTAGAGTACTTGTTAAACAACTATGGCCAACCACAGTATGAAGTCTTGCTAAGACTTACTTTTAACTGCATTTGTACATAGGGGTCTCTGTTAACTCTTTCAACCCAGGCTCGGTCCCTGGGACTGACCTTGTAACCATTTTGTGCTTGTTATAGTTTTCATGCTATAACTTTTAAATTAGTAAGTGAATGTTAACAAAATTTGGCAGTTTATCAGTAAACATTACAATGCTTTCATATGCAAAATATTTAATTTTTTACTTAAGTCTTAAGGTTTGTAAAGCAATGTTTCTCTCATGCCTTTTTTTCTTTTCACATCTTGCCTATCTATCATGCAAAGTAGTTTTCATTTTAAGATTAAAAATACTTTTGTGCATCAGAAAATTTTGAAATTTCACATGCAAAATCTCTATAATGTTGAGATAGTTATCAAACATTTCTTAAAAACAAACTTTATATTTTATCTGTTATCTTCAGTAATTAATCTCTGTACAGGTTCGGT